GGGGAAGGAGAACAAATATACATGCATTCAATACAGCACCGCCAATATATCATTATCAAATATATCATTATCAGCGCACAAAATTCACAATTCCCAGATTGACTTCCCAGCAAGAGATTCAACCCGTCTCCTGTATCTCTGGGTCACTAACCGAAATATCCGATGAACCAGTGGGCGTGGTTGGGCTTGCCGCCGATGATCCCGACCGACTGCGGCAAGGTGAAACATTTCTGGGGACGGGCGGAAAGTTCTTGAGTTGTGAGTCGGTGTGAGTGTGAGCCACACTTTCAACACAATAAGGTCAGATAAATGCCCAAGAACAGATGTGTTGCAAGAGAGTAACGTGCACAAAAAAGGAGGACAGATAAGGACGACAGATGTTTGAAAGGAAAGAAGGAGCAAACTGCAAACCACACCAGAGCACCCGCCAACCACCCACAACCTTCACTTTGTACCGGGGAAAGGACATACAGATAGATCCACAGAGGGGGGAGAAAGGTTGGACCTACCAGTTGCACACATCCCAGAGCCGTCCACCACGATAGGTTGAACACCACCAGTAGCAACAGTAAACAGGCCTTGACACTATGTCTTTAGTTTAAGTAAGAGTTTTACAGCACTTGCAACACAATAAGGTCATATGAATGTCCAAAGATTAGAGGTGGCACAGGGGAGTAACAAACACAATAAGGTCATATGAATGTCCAAAGATTAGAGGTGGCACAGGGGAGTAACAAATACCAACATGAAGGAGGGGAGAAAAAGGAAACATAGGCCTAGAGAGCAAGAAACAAACACATTTGTGGGTGTTTTAGTAAAGAGTTTTACAGCACCAGCAATACAAAAGACGGAACAATAACTTAGCCAGCTTAGAGAAATTTGACTTTCAAAAATTTTGAGTTCCACAACATGTCAAGTTTTTTCGAATGTAGTTCTTTGAATATCTTGATAACGACTCCGAATTATTTTACGATTTTGATAGACCAGATAGAACATTAGTTCTCCGACCTCAAGGTCTTGGCAACTCAAAATGGCCGAAGAATTTTCTATAGAACTTTGTAATTCTGAGGTAGCGAAATGTTAACAACAACAACAAAAGCAACGACAACAACAACAACAACAACAAAAGCAACGACAACAACAACAACAACAACAAAAGCAACGACAACAACAACAAAAACAACGACAACAACAAAAACAAAAACAACAACAACAACAAAAGCAACAACAACAACAAAAGCAACAACAACAACAACAAAAACAACGACAACAACAACAAAAACAACAACAACAACCCCTGCCCCCACCTTGAGAGCATCAAAGTAGATCGGGTTGATCTCGGTCAGCCCCAGCCTTAGCGGAATCATCAGCAACAGTGGTCGCCACGACAACGAGGCCTGCTGGTGACCAGCGCGACCTTGACCCGAGGATGCCGTGGAGGAGGGGCCCCCGCTGCGTGGGACGTCGTTGACGAACTGGGAGAAGATGGCGCCCTCTGGCAGGTCCACAGAGTCACCGTTCATCATCTGGGGCCGGGGCGACTTGCACAGATTGCCTGAGGGGCAAGAAAAGAAGTAGGACCTACCAGTGGGCCATAGCGTCTTGCAGCCGCTTACACAGGAGGACAGATTGAAAATCTTCACATTTATCCGACTGTAAACACAAAAACTTTCTCGTTACAAAAGGATGATTGCAGGTGCCCAGCCACCAGTACACGTTTTAGTAATCAGCAAATAAGAAATTGATATTCTAGCTCAAAAATTTGTTTTATGCTTCAATACAAGTTTCATGGCACTTGCAACACAATTAGGCCAAAGATTACAGGTGCTACCAGTAACAAATGCAAAAAAAGGAGAGATAAGGACGATAGATTTTTGACAGGAAAAAAAAGGAGCAAACTACACCAAAGCATCCGCCAACCACCCACAAAAATAGTCTTTTGCCATGGAGTGTCAAGGACAGAGGTCGCAAGTTCAAGAATGAATGTAACTTAAACAAAAGCATTAGAAAATGAAAGAGATCTCGGGCAGATGTAAATATAGTGCTGGTGTTCAGGGGAACAAATAACAATAATACAATAACAATAATAACAACAATAATAATAATATAAATAATAATAATAATAATATTTGATTGCATTTACATAGCGCTCTATCCCATACAAATATAGACACTGAGTGTCAGTGTTCAGCAGAGACTTCTAAATATAGAATCAGTCTTCAACGGACAGATCACCTTTGAGAGAATACATAGGTAAATAACACAGATGTCTCTGTCAAACGTACAGCCCTCACCCGCCCAGACACACACTTACGTATCTCATCAATGACCACCACATTGTCCAGCGCCACGTGTATGGCTATGTCACTCCAGTTGTCGTACACGCAGATACGTCTGGGGGGGGGGAGGGGGAGAGACGATTGACAGGTATGATTCAGATGTAGTGACAGATTTTTCACACACACAACACAACTAGGTCATAGATCATATAAGGTTTAGATACAGAGAGAAGTTACTATAGAGAAACAAACAAAGAAACGACGGAGGTTGGATAAAGACAAAAGATGTTTGACAGGAAAGAAGTAGAAAAGCACTCCAGAGCACTCAACAACACAAATTTTTTAAAATCACAGAAACATTGTACAGGGTTTAAACCCCCCCACCCCCTTTTTCATTACTACTGATCATCATCATCATCATCGCCTCTCACCCTGCATCAGGGTAGAGGCCACGGACAAACACCTTCCACCTTTCTCTATCCTGGGCTAGCCTCTTGATGTTATTCCATGTCTTCCCACTTTCCTGTACATCAATTTCTGAGATTCTTCTCCCAGAACCATGCGTTCTTCCCCTTTGTGTGATGCAGCTGCCTGACTTCCTGAAAGTATGTCCAATCCATCGCCACCGCCTTCTTAATAATAATAATAATAGATAGCATTTGTATAGCGCATATCCCCGCTCATCAGCAGGCTCTATGCGCTTTACACAATATTATTACCCCAGCAGACCATAGAACACTCAGAAACATTCTGAGCTTCCT